TTTTTTAAAATATAATAAATTATATTATAAATTATAAAATATAATATATTATTAAAATTATAATAATTTATATTATAATATTTATTTATAATATTAAAAGTTTACAAATATAAAAAAATATTTAATTAAAAACATACTGTAGTTCCATTATTTGTTGTTCCTGTAGTTGATGCAGTGGTAGCAGCAACTGTAACGGTTACTGTCTTAGTTCCCTTGGATGATGCTAACTGTTGCGAAGATTCTAATCTTTTTTGCTGCATTGCTGCCCTTTGTTGTTTTAATTGAGCTTCCATTTGGGCACGAATCTTTTCTGCACTTTGTTGAGCTTGTTGTTGTGCAACTTTTTCACGAACAGCTTGCTGTTGTTTTTCCAATCTATTTTTTTTTATAAGAAAATTTTTATTATAATTCATTTATAAAAAATGCAAATAACTCTATATATATATATATATATATCTTTTTGTGAAAAATTTAATTCACAATTAACTAAATTGATGATTAATTATACATTCGTCAATAATTAATAAATCAGCTCAATAGCAATTGAAAATGACAACAGAATTAATCCAAAATATTAATGAGTGTAAGCTAAAATATAAACAATTTTAATTAAAATGGCAGACAGTATTTTTTTTCTTAAATTAAAAATTTGAAGAACTTAAGTCATCATCTGATGATTGGACAAGTTTCTTCAAATTTTTAATTTTCTAAAATATAAACTTTTGCATATTTTACCATGGGGCAACTGTCTCTAAATCTCAGAGACAGCTACCTCACAGCAGAATCTTTATGAATGTAGGAAAGTTTAAAATCCAATAATATCAATTGTACAGACTTTGGTAGCTTAACAACATATTGAAAATGGTTAACATGTACTCTGCTTACCTGTCAAAGAAATATCCTTGAGGTAAAATTTTCTAATTTTTTTACAGCTTTATTCTATAATTTATAATATTAGTGTTTTGAATTTTCTAGTGGTTTATATTAATATTAAATTTTTTAAATTTTTATATACTTATTTTTTTTTATAAATATTACATCTATGACAACATAATTCTTTATTCAATATTTTCCTGATAATGAGCAAAGTAATTGAAAAATAATGCTTAAATTCCTTTTATAATTACTTTTAAAAATTTAATAAATTTATTCATTTTAAAAATAAATATTGAAAAAATTGGATTACAGTAAATAAATACCTATACTTCTAATGAGTCCAAAGGATATGTACATTAATAATCAATATACATTCTTCTGCTAAAGTTATAATCTTTTTATAAAATTTGATTTCGCAACATTCGAATTTTCAACTTCCAACAAGCAACGCATGTGCAAATCTCGCACTAGCACCTGTTTGTAGAAAGATGTTGTAATTTTATATTTTATTTTGACTCTGTTCTCAGTCTCCTGACTACCTACAAGTCTGATTTTTTTATGTGCACATGATTTGGGCACCTAATATTCTGTGCCAAATTGAAACTCCTTATATGTACTCCTTCGTACCTCTAAGGCAGCAATTCCCAACCTGTGGTACGCATACCCCTGGGGTAAGCGATAGGTTGTTTAGGGGTACAGAAAAAAATTAGTTATTATGGCAGAAAAAATAATATATTATATATCACATATTTATGAAAAAATAATATATTATGTATCACATATTTATGAAAAAATAATATATTATGTATTTCGTATTATGTATGAAAAAATATCATATTATGTAATAGTATTAAAAAATTATTAGGTAAAAAATGTTCCTTGCAACAATCACAACTTTATTATACATTTCAAAATGAAAAAATAGAAATAAAAACTTACGTTGCCGATTGTACAATGCAACAGATCAATAAATGTTGTGCAATCGGTCAATGGTAGTGGGGATACCATTCTACATGATTAGTGATTATGCTACAAACTTTTGATGGTGGGGTGTGTTACTGTTATTATTATCTCTCAACAATATCCTCATTGTTCGAAAAAGTATTTTTTTGTTTATAAAAAATATTTTTTATTGTTAGCAAGGAAAAGGACATAGCTAGTTTCTCCAGATTTTCCTGAGATATCTCATTTCAGCATTGGAATGTTTTTCAAAGCAGATGGCACTAGTTGTTATAATTTTATATTAAAACTAACTTCTGAAATATAATTTGTTTTCGTTTTACATTTATTAATATATATATATTGTTTGTGCAAAATAAGAAAATATTTTCGGATGATACAATAGCTATGATTATTTTTTTCAAAAACTGGAAATTTTCGTTAGCCATCGACAAAAATTCAACAGGGCGACACGCAACAGAGAGAAATTTTGAAACTGGATATGTTAATTTCACCTTTGATTTATCATTAGATATGGATAAATGGTTGGAACGAGGAACAAAAAAAAGCTAACACATAATGTGGAAAGGGTTCAATTGACAAATACCTCTCAAGACAACAGCACTTCATATCTAAACACTGGAAAAGTCCAGAAAACAGAGAAAAACAAAAAGTACTGCAATGAATATATTAAATATGGATAAATTTACTTATATAGGAAATAAAAACTGCCCTAAACTACTATGCATAGTATGTGGAGATGTTTTATCTAATGGCTGCATGAAACCTTCCTTACTCCTATAACATTTACAAATAAAGCATCCCAATTATAAAAACAAGGAACATAATTTTTTTAAATGCTTGGAGCAAAATATGAGTAAATCGAGTTTAAAGTCGTACATCCTGCCATCTGACAAAAATCTCAAAAATGCCATTGAAGCTAGTTACCATATTGCTAAATGTGGCAAAAATCATACCATAGCTGAGAATTTGATTCTTCCCTGTATAAAAGATGCTGTTCGCTGTATGGTCGGAGAAGACCAAGTACATAAAATTAACAACATTCCTCTTTCGAACAATACAATATCTTGAAGAATTCAGGAGATGTCTGATGATGTTGAAATGACAACAATAAGCCGAATTAAAAATAGTAAATTTTTTGCTATTCAAGTTGACAAAAGCACAGATGTCGCCAATTTTGCTATCTTGCTTGTTATAACAAGATATTTGGTCAATAATGAAATTGAAGAAAACCTATTACTTTGTCATCCTTTGTCAGAATGCACAAGAGGTGAGGATATTTTTAATGCTATTGATTCTTATGTCAAAGAAAAGGGGATTGATTGGTCTAACTGCTGTGGATTATGTACCGATGGTGCCAAATCTATGTCAGGTATTTACTCTGGTCTTCGCAGTCATGTAATGAAAGTAGCCCCGAATGTAAATTGGAGCTATTGCTGCATCCATAGACAAAATTTAGCTTCTAAAAGCCTTCCTCATGAATTGAAACTTGTTCTTGATGAAGCTGTCCAAGTGGTTAATTTTATAAAATCAAGGCCTACAAACTCAAAAATTTTCAAAGCTCTATGTGACGACATGATGAGTCTTCATTCTACATTGCTCTTTCATACAGAAGTGAGATGGCTATCTCATGGTAAAGTTCTTACCAGACTATTTGAGCTTAGGCATGAGGTACAAGTTTTTTTTGAAAGCAATCCTTTCAAGCTCTCATCCAAATTTCATGACGATAAATGGCTTCAGGCTCTCGCATATTTATCAGATATTTTTCTGCATATAAATAAGTTAAATTTGGCATTCTAAGATAAAACAACGATATTTAGTGTGTCTGACAAAATTGAATCTAAAATTAAAAAATTTGATTTTTGGAAGTTATGTATTAAAAATAGTCAACCTGAAGTATTTGAAACATTGCACAGTTTCTTATCTGAAAACAAATTACGATTTTCTCCAGAATTAATTCAACAAATAATTGAACATTTACAAGGATTAAAATCAAATTTCCAGAAATACTTTCCAAAACCTGACAACACAAACTATTGGATTCTAAATCCATTTGAAGAGGAAGACTTTTAGGTAGCTAAATTGTCAAGTAAGGAAAAAGAGAATTTGATCAAAATTTCAACCAATTCAATTTTAAAATGCCAATTTAAATCAAAATGTCTTTTTAACTTTTGGGCAGACATTAACAAAGAATTTGAGCAACTTTCTGATAAAGCACTTCAGTTTTTGTTGCCATTTACAAGTACTGTGCTTGTGGAAAGAGCATTTTCTTCCTATCTATATATTAAAAATAAGTATCACAATAATCTGAAGGCAGTTCCAGATTTGAGATTATACCTTGCATCAGTCAAACCTGACATAAAAAAATTATGCGAGAAAAAACAATGACAAGGCTCATACTGAACTCCTTTAATACGAAATTAAATACTTTCAAGTTAGTTTTTTTGTGCAATTTTATTTTTATTATAATTTTTATATTTGTGTTGTAAATGTATTTATTTTTACATGTATGAATGTAAATATATTCTCTTTATCAACATTATAAATTAGCTTTTTTTTAAATTTAAAGTTACAATATGTAAAATTAACAATATGGTTACTCACTAAATTTCTTAAATTAGGGGTACAATCTAGAGAAATGACATGTCACAGGATACCCTAATGAAAAAAGGTTGGAAACCACTGCTCTAAGGTATGAAACCATTGATGGCATTGTGATCTTATAAACAAGATGTAGTCTTGTCAATAATTATTTTTGTCTTTACAGTTATGATTCTATTAGCTCTTTTAAAGTTATATTTGTGAAATATTTCTGTGCATTTAATAATAATGTGCATTTTTCTATACTACAAAGTCATTTTTTCCTGATATCATCTACAGATATGTGTAATTTTTCATAAATCATTTTACTTTAAAATTTACATTGATATTAAAGCAACTGTCAGTATAAGAATAATGAATTACAGTAGAGCGTCGTTTATCCGAAAGCTGGTTATCCGAAACGTCCGTTATCTGAAAGCATTCCAGTCAGCAAATTTAAATTTACGCTAGTGCTGTGGCGTTGCAATCTTCGGCTATTTCTCGGGCTACTCAAATATTTTACGTTTTTGATACTAAATTAACATCTGAAGTATAATTTTTTATTGTTTTTATATTTTTCAATAAATTTATTTTGTTTGTACAAAATAAAAAAATAATTTTTAACGATACAATAGTCTT